ACCACCAGCCACATAGGAATTGTTAGGTTAGCTAGTTATCTTCCTGGTCAGCTTAACTTTAATCACTTGTGATCATTCACACCACAAGGAGCCCTCCCACTCGACTCTTTCTTACATCTTCCAGCACTGAGGTTCTGCTAGGGAATTATTTTCTGAAGAAAGAAGCATTTGAGGGGAAAAAGGAGCCTTCTTTTTAAATTATCTTTGTTGGAAATACACCACTGAGCATTTTAAAACCACAACAGCAAAGCGCTGTACAAATGAAATGAAGCCAAACCTCAGGACTCTATAAAAGGGATCAACAGAGACATAAAGACACATAATATTCCAGAGAGGTTTTTGCGGGAAAGTCTCTCGTGCTGTTTTTGGAGAACTTTCTCGAAGATGTGTTGTCTCATCTGAAGACTTTGGGGCAGACTCTCAGCCTCAAAGCGGGGACTACAGGCACTTCATGTCTTCTGCATTCAGTCTGGTAGTGAAACACTTTTGGAGGCTGTAACTGAAGTGGAAATGAAAGAATCACTCAAAACAATCAAGAGATACAGTATTAAGGCATGTGTCTGGACTAACTTCTGTGCTAAAGAGAAAGGACCCTTTATGTCAAGGAAACAGAGGTGCTATAACTGCCAAATAAACTTACTGGTGCACCCAGAGAGGTACGGCCAAGAGCCTGACTCTGCTTGTGTGGTCAGCACTGCAAACCTCCAGTAACTCCTGCCATTGGAGTGGTATCTGTGACAAATGAGCCTTAGTGTGATGAGAATCGGGCACTGAACCCAGAATGAAGGTGGTACCTCCAAGTGAGGGCCACTAATCTACCAAAAAGCCTGGACGAAGCATTTGGAAGCTATCTTTGCTATGGCCAGGCTGTGAATTCAGCAGTTTTGGGGTGAGCCATGCTGTAAGAAGCCTTACAGAGAGCTCTTCCCAAGACCGAACAAACAGCACACTTGAGCTGATCTTCAGGCATCCAGGTAAGACTGAAGGATAGGGTGACAGCATATAGCAAGGAAAACACGGTAGGGACAAGTGAACAAGCACAATGCTGCTTCCATTAGAAGATATTTGTGTGCGTTGTCCCATTTACACACCAAGGAATACAAAGTCTTACACGTCCAGCTGAAGGCCAATAGGAAATCCTGGGAGATAGGGACAGGCTTCCTCTGGAGGCAGGTGCATTCCTTTATCATTGACGTTTTCCTCTGAAGGACTTGGCTCTGGCCACTGCTACACACCAGACACTGAGCTTGTAGGTTCTAGATTCCTGTATTCCTGGACTGATGATTTTCTATTAAATAAGGTTTGGGGTTGTTTAATCTTCATTTGAGGAGGGAAGGTTTTCTCTAATATGTGGAATGAGCCTACAGGAGATGGCTCAGCATAGACTAACCACACATCTGTAATTCTTTCACTCCAGGGACTGTAATTCATCTCCTTTCCCAACTGAGACCAGGAATTCTATCTTTGCTTGAGATCTTAGACAATCTGATAAAAGCCAAGCCCTGCTTGGGCTATTTCTGTATGGGAAACAGTTTTCAGCCTTGCCCTCCCCTAAGTGAGAACTTCTTTTCCTAGGAGCAGCCACTCATTTCCATCACATGTACAAGAATTTCTCTTGCTCCTCTACCCAGAGTCAACCTAACCACCCTTAGCAGGACCAAGTGTCTGGTGCCTCTGCAGTTTCTCTTTTCCTGGACCCCAAAGTGCTTATAATGTACTCCAGACCTGGGAAAATCCCAAAGACCATGAGCAGGACCACTCAAGTAGTTTGCAGCTTCTCGTATGGCTGCTTTATCATGTTTAATGTTACCTGAGCTGCATCTGAGGATACTTATTCTATGCATATAAAACCAGGAGTGCTTTTCTCAGTAAAGAATACATGCCTGAGCAACCAGAAGCTTATTACCACAAAATAAGGTAACAGTTGAGCTGGTTACAGCCTGAATACCACAATGCTGTAGGTTGGCTTTGAGTCACTTGCAGTTAGTGACTGCAGCCTAGAGGCCACTTGCTGCTGGCTAGGATTTGCCCAGCCTGCTCCTGGCAGTCTCTTTCCTTTGGGAACAGGCTGCAGGACAGATCAGTGGCAGCCCGCTCCTGGAGCAGAGAAGTCACTCCTTGTTACATGAGCTATCTGCCTCATTGCATGGGGTGGAATGTTTATGGACCATAGTGAAAAGGTAGTCGGAAGCAATTGCTGAAGCCTGGTGTGTGAGATCATTTCTGGCTGTTCCTAGCCCTGTTGGGAAGCAGGCAACACATGTGCCCCCTATCCAGGCATGGATAGACGGCCCTGTACATAAACCATGTTGGGAGAAGCACCATGGCCTTCTACTGCCATGGAACAAAGATGTGTGGCCCTGGTTAGAAAACATGGTTAGAAAATCACTGCGGTGCTTTTGAGACCACGTATCAGTGATCTCACAGGTGAACACAAAGTCACTTCTGCACTTCAGGTGCTAGCATGAAGCCCAAGGGGAAATGTTCATTACTCAAAAGGAATGCAAGAAAGAGATTGTTTCAAAGGTATTTTATTATCAAAAGGACACTTTCTGAGCTCCGGATAATACCATCAGGAGCTGCGCAAGGGAAGCAAATGAACTGTAAGCCAAACTCTATTTTGTAAAATAGTGTACTTAAAGCATTTACTGTCATATACCAGTTATTACTAGTGTGATTAAATGCATTCAATGCTATGTAGCTTTCTTTTGTTTCTCAGCAGCTAGACTAAGCTTTCATCTCTTCTACCTGCTATAATTGGTGTACTTGTACTGTGTCTGAACAACTCAGAGAAAAGCAAATATTTATTATTGATTCCTTTGAATCAATTATTTCTTTTTTTTGTTTGGTTGGTTGTTTTATAAATAAATGTGCTGCAGCTTAAGTGCTACAGCTCAACTAAACGTGTACTAATGCTCCATCTTCTGTGGTGTGTGTTACATGCTGTCAAGCGGGATCCAAGGATAAAAGGAATGGGGCCAAAAATACCATTTCTAAGCTATGTGTGTATTTGTGTAGAAAGTGTGGGGAAGCTGGTCTTTCTCCTGGGTATTTTTTCAGTCTAAACTATATGACATGGTATGAAATATGTAAAATATTGAAGTAAATGGTGTTTCGAGTTCCATGCAGCAGCTATTTTACCTGAGATATTTTGGCTATAGAAGGATATAGATGCTTCAAGCTAATAGGATAAATAGTGACAGCACAGACACAGCTCATATACAAACCTCTGGTGATGCTGGCCTCCCACATCTGCACCTTTACTCTGAACCACAGTGAAACCCTGAACAACTCGGACCTCTGTTCAGACAGTTTAGATCTTCTCTAAGCACTCTGAGGATAACCCTTTTGAACAAGCCAACAGGAATCTCCGGTCAGGGAGGTGTAGGGGAGCTAAATGTGACTGTGGTTGATTTCTCTTGCCGTGGTTCAGCCTTCTTTCCCCTGGGGGTGTTTTGCAGAGGTCTCCCAACATCAGCAATCGTCTTAACTGAAACCTGGGAGGGAGAATTACAACATAATTAGGCAGCATTTAGAACAAAACCCAGTGGTCTCATAGGTGTGTCCTTCTGTCTATCCCTGATTCATGAGGAAACACTATTACTTGCTCTTGATGGCACCCAAAATCCTGATGAGGTAATACACGTTTTGAAAGGAGCTGTGCAATTGCATGCTCTTGTGCAGTATGGGGGATCTTGGGTTATTTTTACCTTGGATCAGTCTGTACTGACATACTGAAGGGGGAGAACACGGTGGGAAAGGGAAGGGATCTCCTTGGAAGAGTGTGATTTTCAAGCTTCAAGCAGGAAGTGCAGATCTAAGTGTTGTATAAACAACAGATGAATAGGAAGCATGTCTTTGATAATCTCCACTCTTCCCAATTCTGCTTCAAACCCCTAAAGGAGAAGCAGTGCTTCATTTCTGGTGTGCTAAATCAGCTTCAATAACCAACCATCATAGGATCTTTATGGAAAAGCCTCTCCGCAGAACGCTTATCACTGTCCAGCCCTTTGCATCTTCCTTCTTCTGATAAAATGAGCTACTTTTCTCCCAGTTAACAGCCTTTAGTTTCTAATGTAATGAGTCATTTGCCAAACTGCCCTCCTCCCTGCACTGACTCACTGTTTTAGGCTGCCTTCACTTGCTATCAGTCTGCTGGGTGAAGGATGGCTGCACATCTAAATGTCACTATGTAATTTCAAGATGCAGGTAGTGCTATTCTTAGGTCCTGCTGAATAAAATAATAGAACAAAAAAGCAACCCCTTGCTAGCAGCACAGCTCCCAACAGACTTGGTGTGTGATGTATTGATGCATGTTAGCATTGCATGCCTGAAGCATCTCCCATGCAGCATGGGAGCCTGTACTCCGGACAGGGTGGAGTGTGCTCTGCACGCTGTACCTGGTCAGATATGGGCTGAGGGTTCCTATTGACTGCCCTTATCTTGAAAGGCAAAGGAGAGTGACAGTTAGTGCTCTACGATATGAAGCCCTTCCTTTTCCTGCTGCACCTCCCGTCTCCAGCCTTGTACACCCAAAAGCCAAATGATACTTTCTGTTGTCACCCAAAAGTCGTGGTTCAGGTTCCAGCCTTGTATGTGTGCAAGAAGAGGAGTGACATCCCATAGGATGCCATGTGGCAGTGAGAATCTGCATGTTAGTGGTGTGATAACAGGTTTCCAGCCTGGGTAACTGCGTCATGTTCACTATTAGAGGTCGCTCAGAGTTGCTGTGAAGGAGATGTTGATGCTTATCTGTCTCAGGGTGCAGGCTTGCACACAGCAAGGTATCACAAAGGATGAGCAGTCATTTGGGATAAGCTGAAAGGAGAGGTTTGTTAGCGGGTGTCCCTCTTGCCTCTAAGATTGGACTTCAAGCAGTTGTTAGTGTGTATACCCCCAGTATTGGACTTCAAGCAGTTACCAGGAGTGTTCCTGTCTAAGG